CCTGCTGTTAATATTTTTAGTTGTCCATATATTAACAAATCTTTTTTTCTGTGAGCAAGTTACTTTCCTAGATCAAAAAAGCAACAATATTCGGGAATTTATTCGATGAAAACTGCCAACTCTAAATATGTTTGAATTTTATATATGCAATTAAGTAATGTATTTATAGTTATTTTTTTGTGTAGACATGACGTCACAACATCCGTTGGCAGCAGCTCTTGCACGCCTTCCTGGCATCGTTAGTAGAATATAGATTTACATAATAGTTTAAGAAAATGAAAAATTTTTTATAAAATAGTGTTGTATATAGTCTCTCGGGCAAAAATTTTTGTTTCCATTTTAGTCTTTTTTTTTCAATAAAATAAAACTGAAATAAATTTTAAAAAATTTTTTTTCTTCTTTGAAAATGAAACAATTCGATTGTTTGAAAACAAAACTTCTGGTCCGAGAGACTACAACTATAACATTAGTTTGTAAAAAACTTTTTTCATATTTTTTTATTGGACTATTGTACAAACAGATCATGCATGCCAGGAGGCGAGTCAGTATTACGCCCGATCTACAATAGATAGAGTAAGGAGTAGGGGTGGGAGTAAGAAATAAGCAGTAAGCAAATTGACCAATTCTATTCTCACGTTTCAAAAATAATCGACTGTGATTGGTCAGTTTACTTATTGCCTATTTCTTACTCTTACTCCTACTCCTTACTCCATCTATTGTAGATCGGACCTTACTGACGACAACGGACACTGTGATGTCATTTACACGCAAAAGAATAAATTACTTATTTAATGCAAATATATTAATTACACATATAAAATTCAAATATATTTATACGGTAATTTTCTTTAAATAAATTCCCGAGTACTGTTACTTTTCTGGGCAGAAAAAGTAGTTTGTCTTCTTTAAAAGCCGAAAGACGCCGCCGCCTTCTTGTGATAAGAAATTCTGGATGGTGTCTCCTACGTTCTTGGAGCAGAAAGGCTGATCCTTGACTCTTGAAATATATCGTGCAGAAACACCTTTCGACACGTGCATTCTTACATTCACGACAGGCCCTTCGGCATGACTAATTGGTGAATCGCGACGCGAGAGCCGGAGGCGCGCTATGTAATTGAAGCGAGGCCGGCAAGAAAGCGCAGCAGCTCCGTAATCTACATGATGCATCGGCAGCAATTAGCGTGGAAATTCGGTGAAGGATTTTAATCACCCGCCGCTGAATTATCAGGCGCTAATCGCACCTTGACTTTGAGCGCGCATTAACCCATTAAGGCCCAAGAGAAAACCGCTAAGGATAGGCTTTCAAAAACCATCTAAATTAGGGCAAAACGTCGAAATTTGTTAAAAAGTGAAAAAAAAATTTGTGTTGGATTTCAAAATTCAAGATGGTGGACCAATATGTCAGCCCGAAAATTTGAAATTTTGACCTATTTAAGTGAAAATCCGTATAGGGAGGGTTTTGGGTTCGCTGAGTATGAATATGCACTTATTTTTTCAAAATTCGTAATTGCGGATCCAATATGGCCGCCCAAAAATGCAAAAATTTTATATAGTTTTGTTATTTGGCGAAAAATTCAACCAAATTATAAGCTACTTTTCAAAAGTGTTTGTTTTGGGGCAAAACATCATACTTTAGCAGACTATAGAAGAAAAATGGTTTTTTGACTTTAAAAATCAATATGGTGGCCAAGAATTTTTAATTTTAATTTATTTCAATGAAAGTACGTTTTGAAAAATTTTGAAAAAATAAGTGTATATTCATACTCAGCGAACCCAAACCCCCCTCCCTCCCCCTGTACGAATTTTCACTCAAATAGGTCAAAATTTCAAATTTTCGGGCCGACATATTAGTCCGCCATCTTGAATTTTGAAATCCAACACAAATTTTTTTCACTTTTTAATAAATTTCGACGTTTTGCCCTAATTTAGATGGTTTTTGTAAGCCTATCCTTAGCGGTTTTCTCTTGGACTTTAATAGATTAAATTATCGAATCAGGGATCGGCGCGGGATCCGTTCTTTTTTTCTCTCCCATCGTGGCTTCTCAACTATAATCCTCGCTGCTTAGTGATTAATACTCGCGACAGTCGAGTGCGCAAGGAACATGATATCAGGAAGGTTAAATTTTTCCGCGGAAATAACGAACGATAACGACAATAGTTATATGCGCGAAATTCACCTTGCGCTCAACATAACCGAGACAAGTCAAGAAAAAGACTCTCTAAATCTCTGGTGTGAATTCCCTTCTTTCGAAGAGAACGAAAATTCGCTCAAAGCGACAGACGGAGTCGCGAACGTTTAGCTCCAATTGTTGAGTAGAATCTTCATCCACACACATACGTCTGTAAATGTTACAATTAGAGCGAATTTATCCTAGTGAGACAGCGGAGTACATCAACATTCGCTCTTCAATTGCGAATGAAGATATTTACTCGACGATTCAGAGAGAAGAATTCACTACCTCCATACAAATGAAAAACCTTTCAATTTTGAGCGACTCGATTCTGTCACTCTACTTTTCGAATGGAATTTCACTCGGAGAAATCACGAGTTACCGTATGAACCCCCGGATGAAAAACGCTCGTCTCCGTTCGCCACTTTTATCATCCCTTACGCTCTTCTCTGCTCCTCCCAGCGCCCCCCTCTCTCTCTCTCCCTCGCCCGTCCCTAAGACCTCACCCTCTGTCTCTTTCTCACCTGCTCTTACACCGCCTCCCTTCGCCGTGCACTCAAGCTACTGCCATTGAAAACCCTGCTGCCCGTTACGTCTAAACGCCGGCGAATAAAAGCTCGAAGCCAGTGAAGTGAGTATACGCTTCGTCACTTCTAATTTTAGCACAAAGGGTGCGGCGCGCGCGCGCGCGAACATGTATGAATGTCGATGCGTCGTGTGCTTGCATGTGCGCGAACGCGGCGCACACGTCGATAAGTGTGCCGGTGTTCGTGCGTATGTGTGTGCGTGTGCGCGTGTTCGTAGAGAGGACATCGAAGGGTAGGATATCTACCTATGGATTTTCACTACGGCGATGGCACGTTCGCCACAGCGATTTTTATAGAATTTATCCTTTGACTTCTTTCTCCCCCTCCCCTTCTCTCTCTCTGCTCTCTTTCGCGCTTTTTCTCTCTCTTCACCCTCTCTCGCTGCGTCTCTCCCGAGTAGCCGCGGCGGCTTCGATTGAAATACTATTTCCATTTCGTTGCACGCCGATGGACGAAGAGGCGCGATTTCGTCGCAAAAGGGAAACCTCGGCGCAAATTGGAAAATATTAGGAAATGCACCGACACGCGGACGACAAGGTGCTGAGGAGATTACCGCGCAAGAGTGAAGTTGAAGCATTGTGAAATTGAGTCTCGGAAGAGTCGCAAAAGCGAAATAAAGTTATTTATTTGCAATTTTTTCGATATGTGTCCCATTCGCGGCAGAAGGTCCGATCAAAGCGCCGTTTCCGTCTCATTGCGAATTGATGAGTCGCGATTTGATGGCGAAGCGATCTTATTGCATCGAGAAATATCGGGAAATTCAGTGCCGAGGGAATGGCGAGTCGAAGAAGCCGTTAGGAATTTTTTACAGACGCATGCCCACGAAATGTTGCTCGATTCGAGGAAATTTCGGACTGAGAGGAAATTATGTTTTCCATCGCGATTTTTTGCGGAATAATTTCCTCGATCTAGCCGATATTAACGATTTCAATCCAAATATTTATTTTCATACATATCAACAGCGAAAAAGCGAGGTTTCGCTGCAAGAGTAACTTTCTCGAAAATCGAGAAATAACAAACAGAATGTCAGAGGTGACGTTCAAAGAGAGACGAGAATGAAACGCTGTGAAATTAAGTCGACGCGACGGTCTCTTTAAAGCAAAACTGAGTGAATCTTTCGCGATATCGATTTTCTCGTACGCATAATGGAGTCGTGTCGAACAACTTAGGAGCACCTATAAGTTCGCACGATATATACAGTAGTGTAGCGTGTAATAATCACAGTATAGATGCCATTAACTAAGTGAAAATGTCGCATAATATATTACCAGAATCTCGCCAAAGACTTCCTGGTCTTTTAATAAAGTGCCGAACAGAAAATTAATATCTGCACCACGGGAAATTAATAGATTAAGGATTGCTTAATATAGATAAAGTGCATGAATTGAATTCAGTTTCGTTCGCAAAGTGAATTACTCATACACGTGGATAAAAGAATTTTATACTGTGATAATAGTCATTAATGAAAAATCACAGAAGAGGGTATTTTTGTAATGTAAAAAGGGCAAATGCCCTTATCCGAGTCGAAATTTTGATTCTACATTAACTCTGCAACTCTCTTTCGTCGAATTTGAAAAGCTTCACAGAGAATCATCTCTATGCACTCTTATTTAGTTTTTTGAAGCAATATTTCCTGTATGAAATACAATAAAGACACGTACGAATCAGAAGCAAGCAATTAGTAAATAAATAGAGTTGACTGAATACTCAAAGATTCATAAAGCTAAGATTAGTTTTGATAATCTCGCGAGACATATACTTTTTCGTAACAGAGACATTGCGTCTGAAATCAGCTAACGACGCATATACAGTGACGCGTATTACATGTGTCGAAGTGTTATTTCTCAATTCCCGTCGATTGATTAAAATATTTCGTTGTTGATTTTTGAAACATCTATTAACACGTTCGTTACATATGCGTGACGCGACGATCTTTCATTATTGATCAGCATCAAAGTCTTTTTCCTATATTATCCATATTATTTTCCATATTATCAAAAACTAAGTCTGTTTTCCAAAATTATGTAAAAAAAATACGAAATGAACTGTAGAAAGAGTCCTCTAAATAAACTATAGTAGAGAACATGCTAATTGTTGTAGTTGCGTTACTTAACATAAAATTCTCTGATTGAATCGTCGTATACATGCCAGTATCAGTACTACGTGCTGATATCCTGAATGCTACGACGCAGCTGTGGAGAACAGGATGCTGAATCAGGAAAGCTGGAATGAAGGACATGAGAAGTCATACATTATATATTTCTAGATATGTAAAATAATTCATTATACAGGAGATATGTGTTCAATTTTAACGGATATTTAATAAACTTATCGAGAATATATAAAGAGATATTTTGAGTTGAAATTTAGGCCAAGATATATTTATAATCCTTTATCATTTGATAAATAGTTGATGAATAATCCGGTTTGGTCTATCTTAGTTCAGGCAACAAGAAATACTGATCTCGAAACAGCTAAATAACGATCCATGAGTACCAATCTGTAATCAATTATACTCTTAATAAAAAATAATCAATAATTCAAAACTATATATATAGCAGCCTTGGAATTTTGTAAGTCTCACAAATACTGATTTGCACGTCTAAAAATGTTGCTTGAACCCATGAATTTTGAATCTTGCTTAAATTAAAATCTTTGCTTAAATCTTTGCTTAAATTAAAATTGATATTATACCAAATCCAGAATTAAATCTTCATTAATGCGCAGTATTGGACAAACAGCTGCTATCTTTACTCTTACCATTTTATGGCTGGTTTTGAATCTCCAAATGAATTATCCAATGCCAATTGAAACAAGTAATAAAAAGATTGTAACTGAAAATAATTCAATAATTAATAGAATTCAATATATAATCCCATTAATTTTGTACTCATATTAAGGATCTAATACTTACTCATTTCACATCTAATACTTACTCATTTCACATCCAGTAAGTCGCGTAATTAAAACACTGCTGATTGAAACTAAGAATAAAAATCAAATGCAAGTAAAATATTGAGATAATCAAATATTACATAATTCTGAAATGTCTTTCTTCATAATTCAACCTGAAAAACAGTAAATAATCATTTGTCACATGAATAGGGAGTTAATAAGACGATAGATTGTATTGTGTTATGTCTCGAGATTCTTCACTGATTCTTCAAGTTTGATTAAACGTGCAGGGTTGAAATCAAAATTTCGACTCGGATTACGCTCTGTATCAAGGAACTTTACACGAAATAAGGAATACGATAAAAATAAGTGCATATTAACATAGCAACCGTGTCATTCGAGCCACGCAAATCAGCGTGTCTCTCAGTCTTATTTTATAAAAACGATCCCGCGCGCGAGTAAAAACAATTGTATCGATAAAAACAATTGTTATCTCGTTGAAATTCATTACAATCTCCAACTGAATAGGGAAAATAGATACCGAGAGATGGTATTTTCAAAGCCACAGATAAATAAATAAATACTACACATTCGTTATAAGTACGCGTGTGTAACGGTCGAGTCTGCAAAATGACGAAACAGCGCCCACCGCTGAGATATGCAAATTTCCAATTACGAGTAGCCGCGGTTTTACATTTCCGTCCGATAACAAGTTTATAAATCCGCACGCCAGCTTTTCTGTCCCGCGTGCGGGCGCATTTAATCGATATTCCTGTTTGCACGATAAGAGCAACTGTACCCCGTGGCGGCAAGGACCCGTTTGTCAAACGAGAATTTACATTTCATGCAAATCGAGATACGCCCGTCCGAATGTTCGCGACCGTTTCGACAGTCGCACCGGACACAGGGAGAGTATTATGTTCTATAAGTTGCGTTCAGAAATCCTACTATATAAGAATGTTATTCTACAAGCGTTCAAACAGTGTCCCGAGTCAGACAAAATTAACAATCTTAATGAAGATTCTAAAATGTCGAGTAAGCACGCTAAAGTGTACACAGAAAAAGTACATTTTTACTTGTGAAATGTAAAACTCATTTCTGTAAAATATAATTTACTTTTGCGAAGTTTATTTCTGTGAATAAACTTGACATCCCAAATAAATTTTCAAATATTTTTTTCTCAATATACCCAGAGTAGCTTTCTCAACTATTGAGTTTTTGATAGTTGACAGAATAACCTATGTATCTCATTCTAACTGAGGATTGTTGTTAAAAATCAAAGATTTAATTATACAAAACAAATGCTACTGTTTGATGAGTTCTCAATCTACTGTTTAGGAAGCAGAGATTAATTGTACAAAACAATATTATTCTACTGATTGACCAACTCTTACTAAGCAGTTTCTTTCACTTTTCAAGATTTTCCTCAATAATAGAGTACGTTCACTATTCAATAAATTTCTAATTCAGAAATTCTTTTCTTAATACTCAGGTAGAACATATAATTTAGCAGCTGAATGGTGTTAGTTATACCTGAAAAAAAAGATAGTTTTCTCATGAGACGCAAATAATTTTAATTCTCTTAGAGACTACAGACTCAATCTATATATGTGTAAATATACAAGATCTCTTGTTTTATCATCGTTAATCAATGAAGCCTACTATATATTTATTTTAAAAATCACTTGGCGCCATGGCTATTCTGGGTATATTTCAGTTCAATCCACTGAAATGTATACAAACTAATACTAGGCCTGCTAGCATGAAAAGGAGAAAGAGAGCATGCTTAGCTACCTGGAGTATAGCTCTGTCTTTGTCTATCCTTTATGGCCCAGACAAGGATGAGACAGGGACCTCTCTCTCATCCCGTTTATCTACTGTGGATATTACGTAATAATATCACGCACGTTCTAATTAATATACATTTCAGTGATTCAATCACAACCTTACTCTATATGACAAGTAGGATTCCTGCACGCACCTATAGAGGTTAAGTCAAATTAACTCTTACGCTTTCGGGAGCTCGACGGACGGGAAAGCGGGAAATAATGACACTCGGCATTCCTAACTCTACATCCCCCGATGATTCCTCCTCGCGATGACTTCCGCGATGTCACTCTCGTCGTTCTTTCACCCGCAGATATCCGAGAGCCAGCTTGGCGAACCAGCGATGCTTGGCGCGTTCTCGCGTAAAAGGAAGCTCGCTGACCACCGCGATATTACCCAGCATCACTTACGGCCTCTTGAAGTAGCGGCTCGTGCGCGTTCCTTTAGAACATAGATAATCGATCTCTGATTGGCTCATCTCAATACGCTATATCGTAAGGAAAGAGCTCGCGAAAGAGAGACGCTCTAATGAGAGTGAGAGAGAAGCCGTAATGACTGAGATATAAGATGACCAGACGTCCCGATTATTTCGGGACAGTCACTCTTTGTCCCGAATTTTTTCGAGTGCTATTCGGGACAACGATTTGTCATCATTTTCAATGATTGTCAAATAATTTTCGGATCTTTTTATCCCCCTCCCTTCGACTCCCGTTTCACACATTTATGAAGTGTCTCGAACTCAGAACTAGGAAATCTGGCTTACATATACCGCGAGGAGAAACGAGAAAATTACTTACAAATGACGTCTTCACGATACGCTCCGGCAATCGCACATCGCTATTCTCGATACTCCCGATATTTATTTCAGCGCGAGACTTACTTTCGACGGGTTAAAGACGCGTAAAATGCGGAGCAATGTCGATCGATGTGTCCACATCGGTTGCTCGATGCAGAAAAATCGAGAATCAAGATGGTCGCGTGATTGTTGAATCGCGCTGAAAATATACACCAATATGTGAACGGCGCCGCGGCTGAAAAGAACGCGCTCTATAAAATACTTCTCTCTCTGTATCTCTTTTCCTAACAAGCTGACGCAACCGTCCGAATATTCCGCATCTCTCTCTCTCTCTCTCTTTCTTTCCGATCGTCATCGCATTTCTAATTCCCGTTCAATAAATCCGACGATCGCCCGATTCTATTGCTACTTGAGCGAATCGATGTTATTAGGAAATGTAAGGGACGTCAGCGCGATATGTCGCGACAAGTATCAGCCGCATATACCGCGAGGAGAAACGAGAAGATTACTTACAAATAACGTCTTCACGATACGCCCCGGCGATCACACATCGCTAATCTCGACACTCCCGAGATTTATTAACGCGCGAGACTCACTTTCGACGGATAAAAGACGCGAGAAATGCGGAGCGATGTGGATCGATGTGTGCCTATGGCTGTTGCTTGGCGCGAAAAGATCGAGCATTTTGCGCGATTCATTACCAACGCCTAGATTGAATAACCACGATGACAACCTCATAGTGCGAAACGAACGCGATTGGTCTAGAGTGATTAGTAACTCGAGCAAGTGGTTAAGGCGTCCGCCGTACAAATCGCGTCGTTGTAGACACGCGACCTCGTTCGCATCACTGGCGTGTTCACATACATGCACTTTTGGCACTTTCGGCGCGCTAATGAACTTTTGGTGTACGTGATTCATGGCAGCGCGCGCGTCTACGATCTTTTCATGCCGAGCAACTGCCATGAACACAACGCTCCATATTCCATACGTCTTTCGTGTCCTGTGAGTCTCCTGCAGAAATAAGTATTAAGCCTGATCTACAATATGATCTTTGCATTCTGTTTCTTGTCTTTTATCTTTTTCTGGCTTAAAGTTTAAGGTTTCCTTTATAAAAATATCATACTAAGAATCATTGATAATTACTTATTTTCAGTATTAAAAATACTGGATAATAAGTAATTATCAATGATTCTTAATATGATATTTCTATAAGGGTTGAGTCAGAAAGAGGTAAAGAGAAAGAAGCAAGAAGCATAGATCAGGCTTCAGAGTGCTGAAAACAACGACGTAAGAACATCGTACATACATCATAAGTACATTATTACGGAGTAATCTCCCCCCCTTCTCGACAGCCGTAATAACAATTAACTCTTAAGCTGGTGGCACATAGAAAAACTTAAACAGTAAAACATAAGCAGTAAGCAAATTGACCAATCACAGTCATTGATTCTTCTTACGGTCCAAGAATCAACAACTGTGATTGGTTAATTTGCTTACTGCTTACGTCTTACTGCTTAAGTTTTTCTGTGTACCACGGCCTTACGCTTTCGGGAGCTCGATGAACGAGAAAGCGGGAAACAATGACACTCATCATTTTTAACTCTACATCCCCCGATGATTTCTCTTCGCAATGACCTCGATGTCATTCTCGCCGTTTTTCACCCGCAGATATCCGAGAGTCAGCTTGGCGAACTAGCGATGCTTGGCGCGTTCCCGCGTAAAAGGAGGCTTGCTGGCCATCGCAATATTAAAGCCATCACACACAAAATTCCGTAAGAACTTAAATCGTAAGCGTAAGGAAATCAACCAATCCCAATCGAGTATTCGGCTCTTCGTAATAATGGGGGTTACGAAGAGCCGAGTGCTCGATTGGGATTGGTCGATTTCTTTACGCTTACGTTTTAAGTTCTTACGGAATTTTGTGTGTGATGGCCTTTACCCAACAACATTTGCGGCCTCTTGAAGTAGCGGCTCGTACGCGTTTCTTTAGTCAGAGTTTGAACATGGATGATCGATCTCTGATTGACTCATCTCAGTACGCTATATGTCGTAAGGAAGGAGCTCGCGAGAAAGAGAGACGCTCTAGTGGGAGTGAGAGAAAAGCCATAATGACTGAGATGACAAACACGCTGCAACTTCACTCTCTGTCGGCCGTTTCTTCTTCCGTTTTATATGGCGGATCTTCCGGAACGACGCGCTTCCTTCTCTTCTCGATCGCTCTGCAATTGTGTCGTCTGAAGAAAATTATCGAGCCACCGACTGTTGCTTGGTTACAATCGGGAATCCTGTGCGGAGTTCGTGAGTGAAGCTACGAGGAGCGAGTGAGTAACAAGACTTGATTCTTTAATTTCAAACGAACCTTCAACGCGTTCACTGTTATCGTGTGCGTTATTGATAATCAACTCGGTAACATATGCATATATACTTAATATACCAATATAGAACAAATATCCGAAATACATCTCATGGATATCCTATAGATATCGCGATATCTACAGGATATCCATGAGATATTTTGGATATTTGTTCTGTATGGATACACGTATGTACGTGCAATATCTATAATTTGCGAGTAATATAACTTAACCTAACTAACTACACATAACAAGTTAAATGTACGTCCGATAAAATAAGCTGGCAGAAATATATTCTTTATGAATTATATTTATTCACCATACTACTGCGGTAATTCGAACTTCAGTCGGGATTCGGAGCAATCAGTGGAAATTACTGCGGCAGTCAACGTGTCAGCCGAATTTTAATCGGTCGCAAGATGTTCAAAGTGCGTATATTACACAAGCAAATTTTTGCTGAAGCACTCCAAACGCTAACGAAAGATTCCACGACAAAGTTCGCAGACATTTCGTATAATTTTACAAACGAGCAACAGAACACACATACACGGAACAATTCAGTTTCTCTGAACGATACGTCGGCAAACGGTTACAGGAACGATTACAATACGCAAATTGATATCATATTTAATATGTGTGACAATCGCGTTTTATGAGATTAGACTTTCTGGGAGAGCAGAATCTACTTATGCTCGGCTTGCATCTGTGTTTCGAGCACGTCGCCGATCTCTTCGGGAGTCAAAGGAGGCAAGGAAACGTCGCGTGTAAATGCACCGCGTGACATTTGCAATGCGCGGCATACTCTGCGAACGAGATACCCGGGGTAAATATAATCTTACGTGCTGAGCAAGCTGAACTTACTTTACGTAAGTTACCTTCCGCAGTCTCTTCTCGAGAAAGGTCCTCTTTGACGTATCTCGCCCCTTTTCACGAATATTTCCGCGAAGATTTCCGCGAGTGTCATCCCGATTGCCAGCGAGAAGTTAGTTTTTCGCGCGATGCTATCTTCTACAAACACACTTTTAACGACGTTGTGATGTGACACCGCTGTTCAGAAAAATATCAACATGATATTCTAGCGGAGAATTTTATCAAGTCGCAATCATATCTCACGTGGGAATCGTGGGAAAATCACATTTTAATTATGACAGCTTACGCACTGACATTTATATACTGAGAGAAGAGACCTTTTACTCCTCTAAGGAGTAAAAGATATTTATTCAGTGGGTAATATATTTGCTTATATTAATATACACATTTTACACTGAAAGAAGAGAGATATTTTTTTCAATAAGAAAAATATACATTTCCTTCAAAGCTTTTTCATGAAAGCAATCGTTTATTCTATTTAAATAAAAGGTTTGAAATTTAAATAAATATGTGTTATTAGTGCGCTCACTGAATAAATATTTTTCAAATATTTTTCTCTCACACACACAGTGTAGAAATTTGTAATAGAAATATGCATTGCAGGGCTTTTCAATTAAAATCACAAATAATTATTGACCGTTCAAAAAATTCTGTCCAATTTTTTACTCAAATTTAATTTAACCGCGTTCAATATGCTGTGAAAAAAACTATTTAAGAAACTATTTATAGGATATACACTTTATTTCACAGAAATAAACTTTATATCCCACAAATTAATTTTTAAGTATTTTTTTCTCAGTGCATATATGTTAAATTTAAATTCTTTTATTTAAATAGAATAAATAATTATTGCTCTCATGAAAAAAGCCAAGATTTTAAGAAAATATATATTTTCTTATTTGAATATTTTATATGGTATAAGCAAATATGTGTTAATACCCGCCGAATAAATATTTATTACTTCTTGAATATTTTTCACTTAGTGAAAAAATTTTAATATTTATCTTGTATATACATATATTCCCGCAATGTACATCTTTCGCACAGCGCACGTACATACACTTACATTTTCGGAGTACCGATTGATGAGACACTAATTGGATTTACCTTTGCGATTACCTTCGCGGGATCTCGATTTTTTTCCCGCGGTTGAAATCGAGCGAACTTGGCGAGCGCGATCACCGGGCCGTGGAAACGAGCGTTTGTCTAGTATTTATCAGGGAAAATATTTTGTTTTTCCTCTCTTTGCTCGGCACAGCGATGGGAAGTTAACGCGAGCAAACGTTAACGTGAAACGTAGGCGACGCACCAGCGGATAAATATCGCGCTGACTGTGAACAAACTAACGAAAAGCATAATCGTGTTTTGCGTGGAATAGAACTGAACATCGCACGAAATCAAATAGCAGAATTCGCGTGCTTTCTGTTATTTCGTCTCTTTTTCTCATCAGCGCGACGTATTTTCAGCCATCTCACGACGAATGGGATTCAATCCTCTACTGCCCACTGTGACTCTGAAGTGTCAAAGTTTTATCATTAATTATTTCCGATATGAATCCTGTTTCTATCTTGATAAATGTGACGTGAAAGTCACGATATGGCTGCCTTTTCTTAATATGTTGACAGCGATAGTAACTGTCCAACGTGATCTCAGAGTCACAAACCTATTTTGGCAAAGTAAAGAATTAAAACAGTAAGATTTCACTTTATGTGTTGAGTACTTTAGCTTTAAACATTATATGTACGTGAAAAATTTTTTAAACATGAGAAATTAATTTGGGCAGTAGAGGGTTAACTGTTCGCGTCTTCTCACCCTTAAATTTGCTTGTCGTACAATTACACGTCCTCTCAAAGCGGCATCATGACGATAACTATTTTATCACAGTATACTATAATTTCCGTGTGTAGTGATAATAATATCGTATGCACGTAGACGATTATATGTCACTCATATAAAAACGACCGATTATAGCGTCGAAATGGACACGTGATTGACATGGGAGAATTGTCGTTTCGGGCCAACATTCCCGGCCAACAGTTGCGTCGAAATAGAAGCTTTAATTTCTTTTTTGCAAATTGATTCCAATCACGTCGTCACTACCAACAGAAATAATTGCGAGAAACAATGCGACGAGAGATAAATAGAGATAAATACAGAGAGGGACAGAGAGATTTTCAACATTTATCTACGTGTGTAGATAATTTCGTTAATTACCGGTAATTTCTAGGTAATTTCGTTAATTACCGGTTAAATGTGTGCGCGAATAGATAGAATATTTGCGATGTCGTTTCAAGTATTTTTTTGACATTTTTATACTAAACACGAAGCAATTAAAAAACTAAAGTCGCT